AGCTGGAGCCACCCATTAACCACCTCTCTGCAGCCACTGAACCACGGGCTTGGTCCTGGGCTGGACTAGACCTGGCACTGAGCGCCGACAGGCCCCCACCCGCGGATCCCTCCCCTCCCTGCTCAGCTGGGCCCCTCTCTCTTCCCCTTGGTCTTGCTTCCCCGGGGAATTCCCTTAACCTTCCCGTTTCTCCCCGCAGGGCAGGCAGGACCTTTGCTTCCACTACTGGGGCTTGTTTGACGGCCACGCGGGCAGCGGCGCTGCTGTCATGGCATCCAAGCTGCTTCACCATCACATCCGTGACCAGCTCAGGGACCTGGTGGGTATCTTACAGGACTCCTCCCCGCCCCCAATCTGCCTGCAGAGCAACTCACGGGCACCCCTGGCCGAGCGGAACCGGGCTCCCCTCGCGGAAGAGGATGTGGAGCTCTCCAACGACGCCCTGCCCCGCTTCCACCTGGAGAAGGCAGTCTCTCGGGAAAGCCTGGTGATCGGTGCAATCGAGAACGCCTTCAAGCAGATGGTGAGCCAGTGGGTGGAGAGTCCGGCCCCAGGGGAGGAGTAGGGCAGAGAACCATCTGAGGAGGCAATGCCTATGAATGGCTCCTTCCTGCAACACTTGTGACATTGTTAATCTGTGGAACTCACTGCCGCAAGAGAGCCTTGACTCCAAGAGTGAAGCAGGATGCCCGAAAGAATTAGGCATGTGTGTGGCTAGTGACAGCATGCAGAGTGAGAACAGGGAGGAGAAAAGTTCCCTCTGTGGTCTCCCTCAGCCCTGCTTCCTGCCCCGCGCTGTGCAAATTGGCACCCCTTTGCCAGAGGCGCTCTGCTCGGGGATCTGGCTTTGGGCATCATGCCACACGAGAGCAGCATCTCCTGCAGCACCATGCAGTGCCACGTCCTGCTTGTCACCGTTAGCAATAGGAAGTGCTAAGGGATGCGGGTGTGTCATTTCCCTGTCACACGGGGGCTGCCTCGCGGCACCCCAGGAAGCAGCTTGGAGGCCCCAGGCCCTGGGGCGGGAAGGAGGGCTCTGTGCACGCAGCCCCCAGGCTGTGTTCTCTTTGCAGCTGCGGGAAGCGGTGCTCTGCAGCTCTCCTCTCACCCTGCCCTGTAGGAACCGCAGCGTGTGCCCAGTGCCTGCTGGCTGGAGCCCCCGGGAGCAGGCCGGGGGTGTGCCCTGGCCCTGGCTGGGCAGCGCCTTCCAGCTGGAACGGAGGCTCCTTTCCTTTCGCGGCCCATGCTGACAGGACAGCGAAGGGCTATTTTGGGCTCAGCACTGGACTCCGGAGCCAGGCCCTGCCTTGGCTGACCCCCGCCGGCTCCGAGCTGTGCTAGGGCCTTGGGGAGGAAGGGCACTTGGCCGCTGGGCACTTTGTTTTGCCTGGATCCGGGGCCCGTGTGCAGTGCTGAGCATCCTGTGGGAGGGGGCGGGCTGGCCTGGCTGCACATCCTCAGCGGCAGGCAGCAGGGCCCAGTGGAGCGGGCGAGAAGGGAGAGGAGGGGCTGGCCGTAACCCTCTTGCTGCTGCCCCCCCAGGGCAGAGTTGCACGGGTTGGAGGCCAGGAGGCTCCAAGGGCAGGCCAGGGAGCAGCCGGGGTGTCTAGGCCATAGAGCCGTCGGCCGACCGGGGGGCGGGTTGGTGCTGGGATGTCCTTGCTGAGGGAGGCTGGGCCAGAAGGCCTGTTACCTTGGTAAACCCGGCTCCATCTGCGTGGCCGTCTCTCACCCGCAGTCTGGTTCTGCAGCCCCCCTAGAAGGTGGGGCTCTGAGCCCACGGGCGGCTTGGCCCTGCTGTGTCTCCGCAGGACGAGCAGATGGCGCGGGAGCGGACCACCCAGCTCGTGGCGGGCGGCTGCTGCGCCCTGGCGGCCGTTTACCTCCTGGGGAAGTTCTACGTGGCCAACGCGGGCGACAGCAGGTAGGAGCGAGCGAGCGTGTGCAGGGGTCGGCGTCCGGGCCAGGGCAGCATCAGTCACAGCGAGAGTCGGGCGGAGACGCCTTTGCTGCCAGGTGGGAGTGGGTCTCACTCCCCTCCAGAGCACAGGCACAGACTGGCTGAGGAGCCATGGAAAAGAAAGACCCGGAGCCTCCCGGCTCCAAGGAGAAGGCGGGGGCCGCGTGCCTCTGCATGCAGCTGGCCACGGCAGGCTCGGGCGCCTTCCCGGGGGGTCTCGACGCCCAGCTGTCCAAAGCGGTCGGACATCGCTGCCCTCGGAGCAACAGAGGGAGGCCTGCAGGAGCAAACGCTGCTGCCCTCCCTGAGCCGGAGCACTGTGCTAGCTGCAGAATGGGATTCGCTTGCCTAGGCTCCAGACCCTTCCTTAGCAGCGTCCCCTGGCGCGTGATTACAGGCGGGACCCGAGTGTCCCTGAGGCCTGTTGGCGTGGGCTGCTGCCCCCCGCTGTATTGCCCAGCAGGCCTTTCCGCCGTCTGGAGAGTTTGAAATGGGGCTCCTGACCGGCGTTGTGCTCCGTCACCAGCCAGCGGGGAGGGGACACCGCCTTGCGGGAGACGTCGCCTGCGCTGCAACACTGGGGGAGCCGGGAGCGCCGGGCCGGGGGGCTGAACGTGCCAGTGTGGCCAGCCGGGCTCCAGCTGGCTCTGACGCTACCCCTTGGGGCCTCAGAGCCCAGGCTCCAGTCTGAGCCCAAACCCCCTCTCTGCCGTTTCTAGCCCCGCGGCCCGAGCCAGGCCAGCCCTGGTG